ACGGTCGACTATTTCCCAAAATAGGGTGATTAAGCAAGGGCGACGACGAAGGGGACGAAAACGTCTCTTAAAACACTATTTTAGACATTTCTGACGTAGTTGGAAACATTCGGCTGTTGGGTGCCTCTGTAATATCTAACAACCTGTAAAATACTTTTGAGATTTTCCGTAAGTTCGCTTCCCTTTTCAGAGTACGACACTGGATAGATGTAAATTTCCGTTCATCTTGGACCTTGATCTTTATCCTGCCTTTTCCCACAGGTTGTGTAGATAAGGAACGTAAATTAGACACCCTAAGAAAGAAAGAAGTGGACAATATCAGCGAGTACTTTGCGAGAAAAGAGGATCGCATTGGCAAGAAAAAAGGCAAGAGTGCGACTGAGGACAATACACGCACGGAGTCACTACACACCGCTCACGAAGAAATTGCTGAGAGTCATGAAGCTAAAAGGCCAAGATTAGAAACTTAACGTAAATGGGTTAGCTCAGACGCTGGGTTAAAACCAATCGTTAAAAAAGAGTTGCAACTATAGAACTTGTTTTGCGGTTTGCTTTTGAGCTCAGTTTACATTTGTTTCGTCTTCCACCTCATGGATGAGATTTTTTATTCAGGGAAAAAATTTGGAATGTGTTCATAAATGTAGGCTTGATAAGACGTTCGTCTCTTTCTTTTTATGGCTACCATCGGCCTGGCGACAAAATTGTTGGATACACTAGACGTGTCATCAAATAGAGACCTCTCTGAAGAAATTACAAAGATACTGGACAATAACAACACAAAAACACAATATACTATCCATCAAAAGATTCTGCAACATCAAGAACCACACGAAGTAATATATAGAGTTAGCCCAGGCTAAAGGCGAGGCTCCTGTTAATGAAAAAACATTACAGTAAAGAAATCCAATTAGAGTTGAGCCTGTGATCAGTTGAAAACAAGAAACTTGTCAGCGGTACACTTAAAAAAATACGTATCCTACTGGTAAGCGGATACCCTGTTTTGACAGCTGTCTATTGACCAGAACATGAATGTGCAATATCAAATTGCAGGCTCCCACACTAGCTAAAATGTGGAACACTTCACATTAGTTTCCCTGTGGCGCAGTCGGGCGGGTGGACGTACGGTCACATGACCACCAAATTTTCTTTGATGGATAGGCTAGGTAACCAAATGTTCTTAGGTATGGAGCCCCGCTCGTGCGCGCTTCGCGCGTGGCGCTCCGCTATGACACCACAGATGCGCAACCTCGACCCCAAACCTTTTCCTTTAGAGAATGGGAAAAGTCCTGAGTACAAGGTTGCACAGATTTACTGGTGCTGCTAATCTAGCCTGCCAGCAGGCTCTTCGGGGTGTTCTGGCGGCGGGGCGAAAGACATGACTGCAATCTCTCCTCTGTTTATCGCCCCGCCACCAGAGTACCCCGGAGAACTTTTCAGTGCTGAGAGTTTGTATGAGAAATAAAACTTAGATCAACGGAATAAACTAAAAGCAGTAAAAGTTATCAATAAAGTGTAAGTATTGTTACCTGGTGTCGTTGTCTTTCTATATTGGAGTCGTGGATGAAAGGAAAACGGACGCGCCCTCTTCACAATATATATTAAAACATGTTAACAGTAAGCTCGGACGTCAAGATACAAGGGTGACTGCCAGCCGCTATCAGTCCATTTATGAGTTTACTGTACCCACCCAACCCATGATGTGAAAGATGTTTGAAGGTTTATATGTTTACGGCTGCGAAGAGCTGATTTACAAATAAATGAGCTAAATGCTGCATAAACAACCTCAGAATGGAGTCTCTAAGCAGTTCAGGCAAAGATGACAAATGAATTATGGCTTCTCAAATGCAAAATTTAGCACTAAGTATTCTTGTTTGGCAATTGACTTTTTCTTCGCAGAAAATTCAGTGAGGCGATTCAGTCTTAATCGGTTTTCCCTAGGCTGCCATTCTTGCGGTTGTTGCAGAAAACCGAAAACTACTACCGAAACATACTCGAGGGATTAAATAATTTGTAAATTTTTTATGGACTCCTTTAAAACGTGGTTTATAATACATTATAAAGACCCAAAAGAAATTGAAAATAAAAACTAGGAAAAAATGAAACAGTCTTGCCAGTAGCGTAGTTGGTTTGTTTACGCAAACAAACCAACTTAGCGACTGACAAGCCACGCGAACGACTTTAGAAATGCTAAAATTAACGCAGGGCAAGACATGGACATAGACATAATTAACTTACCCTGGAAGAGCTATAGCTTAAAATTAAGATACCTAACTTGTTAAAACGCTCTCGTAAAATAAAAAAGAAAAAGGTCGAAAAAATTTAAAGGAAACATATCTACGTTAAAAGGGATAACTTGAAATATAATATCCCAATGCAAGAATAATTAACATAATTAATTTTTACGTTAGAAAGGACATGTGCAAAAATCATCAGAAAGGTTCAATTTACATAAATGTGTTTGAAAAGTCGCTAGATCCTCACGGCCTGATGAACTTCTGCTGGCTGCGCGATCAGATGCGACTGTATCCTGAATTATTATATGATTGAAAGAATGCTGCAGTCATGATGTTGAAAGGCTTTCGTGCTGCCTCTTTGAAGCTAAGCCAGAGCCTTGGCGCATTTCCGTATCTCAAGAAAGCCTGTAGATAGCCGGGGGCATCTTTTAGACAACAAGACTAATGATACTGAGAACTCTGCGGTATTCTAGGGATTGTATACCATCATAACGGCTCGATTTAGGCAAATTAACTAACGTTTGATTTTATAGAAATTTGCGTCTTCCATTCGTTTCGAGTGTCCCTTCCCAATTCCTAAGAGAAGAGGCGCGCAGTACTGGAAAACAGGCAGGATCATGAATACATGTACCTTGCCGAGAGCCTTTTCATAAGTTCAAATGGGATAAAGCGACTTGATCTTTTCAGTGCGCCGCTGTCATTCTAGAGCTTGCGTCTTGTCCGGTTTTACTGTAAGATAGTCTAGATTGAACCAGTCTGGCCCGTTAAGAAGCTTATGGTAACGTTGATTACAAATTCTAATTAAAAAGACAACCGCAGAGCAGGCCGCAGAGGTATCAGCAGTATACATGGTGGTGTCATCTGGGTATAGTCTTAGCGAAGTGTTTGGAGCGATTTTGTTTAAATCATTAATAAAGGGGCGAGGGGGGAAAGGGAGCCCTGAGGAACGCCAGTATTAACGTCTCTCCTGATTGAAAATGTTGTCTATCCTTGATGTAGGCGGTTACCAAGCCCAGAGCACTATCCGTACGCGTTATAAGCTTGGCCAAAATCAAATCGGAGAGCCAGACAAATTCAGTGAGAAGTGTGATCGAATGTAGCCATGACTAGTAAACATAGATAACTTTCTCAGCCTTTCTCATAGCCATAAATGCAAGTACGGAAACGGGCCTGTGGATTCTTCACTGATTGCATCATCGACAGAAGAGACAGTCAAGGCAGGCAAAAGGGTGATAACAATACCAAGTAAATGCACTGAAGCACACGTACCAACTCCACGGTATGGCCAGTACCTTACGCATCCACACAACCATATCACCCGGGCAGTGGCAGTCATGGACAGTTGTTTCACCCTTATTGGGGCTCATCAGCATGGCATAGCCGTCGGGCCAATGAAAGTGGAAAACCCGTGTATGAAAGACCCTTTACTGGTGAGGCGAGTGCAAAGCACTCCTTGTAGTAAACAAGTGGTAGCTGTTGGTACGTGTGCTTCAGTGCAGTTACTTGGTATTGTTTCAAAAGATTCATGATATATAGGGTCCGGTCGCGCTCGCCCTTTTGAAGAAAGCTGACTCAGCTCTGAGAGAAACAAAAATAGAACACCAACAGCGGTGATAAACATTGTGAACTTTTGCATTTTTATAGAAACTTGAGGTTTCGTATGTCGAGTCAAAATTCGTTTTCAAAAGTGTCAAAAGTGACTGATTCAGGTGGTTCTAAAGTCCAGTCGCTCCTTGGAAAGCTAGTGTATGTGGTTTGTGATGCGTGGATCAGACTGTGAACGAGGTGACCAACCTGCTGAATCTTGGACCTTGTATTGGGATGGACAAGAATTTGGACATTGGCCATGGACGAATTAATTTTTGTAAAATCACAGACTCTCATAATTTTTTGTTGTTTGTTGCCATTAAAGATTTTTGACAAATTAACGTCCTAGAAATGAATAGTTAAGCCTTCCCCCCGGGGGGGGGGGGGAGTTACAAACCAGGGAGTTTTTGATTTTTCATGTAGTATTTCATATCGGTTGAAATACAAAATACAACTGCAATAGACTAATCCGCGTAAGGATCTGTTTGCCGTTTTATATTCTACACGTTATTATTACACTGATCCATGTCTACAACTGGGAGATCCGGCACCACTCAACGGTTTGTTATGGTCGCTGTGGACTTTTTTGGTAATCTCCCGCCCAACCTGGATAAAAAATTTTGGACAAATTTTAAAATTTTAATATCGCTTCGTCGCTTTGTCGTTGCGACAAGTGACCTTTTGAGGCGGGGTGTGCCTTGAAGGTCTTCTGGGTCCCGGGGGGTAATTGTCGAGGAGGAAGGAGGGGAAGGAGGAGACTTTCGCTCAGCCACCCCGGAGAGCTTGCTCGCTTGCTCGCAGTGTGCATGGCGTTCTTTTTTCCACCAGTCCAATCTTCGCTCTCCTGCAACTATATAATTTTTACTCAATACGTAAGATCTTGAGAAGCTTTTCTCGGGGGAAGCGGAAAGTTCTTCCATCAAAAAAAAATTAAAATTGATTCAAGGAAAAAGTTATAAGTGATGTCATCCTCTTGTCATCCTCACGTGCTAACCGCTCCTGAAACAGTCACTATGACAACATTATTTTGAGTGACAAATTTATCACGTGGCCAAACATGACGTTCTTGTTTTGAAGGACGAGAGTGAGGCGGAGTAGAGCGAGATGTCCTTGATCGAGTTCCTGCAAAGTAACATGAAAATTTCCGACTTTTTACAAACGTGATGCGTCTTTTTTAAGATGCGGAGACGCCACAAGCAAGGTAAATCTTGTCCCTTCAGTGTCTTCTTGCTTATCCTACAAGTGTTTGTTGTTTTGCTGTTTTATCACGCGATTGTGCTCGGTTGTGACTAATTGTGTGCTGTCATCGCGTGAACTCAAATTTCATCTTGTCACACGCTGTAGATTTCAGCCCGCGAGGTTTGCAGATAAATTTTCGTTAAAATTCTGCAAATTAGCGGCTATAGTTTTGTTCTTTTAATTTTCTAGGTGTTTTGTCGGCGCATGGAATGCGCTCGATGTGGGAATTTGTTTTTGTTTCCCAGTTCCTGCGGGTATTCCAGGGGAAGTTTGGATTCGTCAGCTTCACTGCCGAGGTGCGCGTTTTAATGTAAAAACGATAGTTGTAGCAATAAAATCATCCAGGTTTGGACGCCCGCTTAAGTTGTCATTTTGTTTTGCAGTTTTCCATGAACGAGAAATTTTAAACGAGATTTGTTTTTTATATTTGTTGATTAAACGTTCGCTCAATTATACAAGTTGACCGTTTGCTGTATTTTTGAACGGTCGGTTTGTAATCCTGCTGTTGAATTGTGTTGACGGGTCGTGTTACTTTAACAGGAATTAGAAAATGCCTTCTTGGACTCTGAGAGCTTGACCCTGTTTGGAATATTCACAGAATTGCTTCGAATCCTACTTCCAAAACAGGATGTAAAGTGGGTGAAGTATAAACTTGATATATTTGTGTGTTTTCCTTTAATGACGGAAGCGTGTTACTATTATGGCGTTATGAAAAACTCAGCTGATTGGACTTGTTCATATTGTTCGTTTCTTGTTGAAGCAGTAAATCATTTTAATTATGCCACTCTTTTCTGCTTCGAAGGACAACGACGTGGCAAGAAGTCTTCAAAGAAGAACTCCAAAATAGATCGTCAGAACGGAGTCCCTTTGATGAAGGAAAAAGCTACGATGCATTTAGGCCCGAGGAGAGAGTGAGTGACTTACTAACTTCCATGTTGGGTTGTTGCGTCAACCAGCGATGTGGTTGTCTAGTTTGGTGGCCTTTGGAGGTTTTGATATTGATAAGCTAAATACTGTTAACAGATTTAAACCAATCATTTTCGTAAATTGTGCTACAAAATATCGCTGAGTACCAGTATTTTCTAAATTATTCCGCTTTTGAAGCGTTTCGCAAATGGCGTTCGTGTCAAGGATCCGAAACAGTTTACATCCGCTTCTGCTATCACTCTTAATTCTTTGAGATTATTTTCAGCTGTAATTCTAATTTAAGCTGGCAGTAGCTTTTGCACAAGTCAGAGCTGTCCCTTACGCTAAGGTCAAGTGGAATGGAGAAAGATAATCCATAAACTTCTTGCAATTGGATCCAAACGTGTGCGTATGAAATAAGCTCTAGCTTTGACTATAGGTGGCCTTGATGGCTAAACGATAGCCTTTTGCGCTTTTAATTTGTTATTAATTTCATCCCACTCGTTGTCTGTTATCCCACTCTGTCGTTGTGCCATTGTTAACGTATTGTCAGGACTGTTTTTAATCTCATTACAACTTTGGACCATTGAAACAACTGTACTGTACAAAAATCTACTTGTTTGATTTATAGGGAGAAAATTGTAAATGAAAGGCGTTACCTCCGTGATATTTTTCTGTAACAGTTAAGCTTAATTGTTGTAATTGTGACTATAGATAGCATCTTCATGCACTCACATCCACTCGCTGTAAGTTACTAAGACTGGATTGTACAATTGATTTTATTGATAGTTGTGATCCGGTGACATCCCCTTTATACCAGGCTTATAACGTTTTCAACGTAGATGTAGCTAAATTGGCTTTAAAATTTAGTAATTGGCATAATAAGCGGACAGGGAACTCATTTTTTACATGCTGTTTCAGTTTCGTTATAAACTTATTACAAATTCATGTGGATGCCATCCATGTGAAATGTTTCTGAAGAAGTTGTGATCACAAATTTAGACTTTCCTCTGTCAGAAATTTCAGTTACAAAGAATGTGAAAGCACTGTAGTAGATATCTTAATCCTACAGAATCCAGGCTGGTATTTACGTAAGTTACAGTATGACGCTTTGCGTTTTTGTATTTCCCTATTTATAAAGTGCACTTCAATAACTGCCATCCCTTTAGCTTGGTAGCCTGGCTGTAAATTTTGATCAAATCATTAATTAAATGCAAATGATAGACCTAGGGCACTTCCATTCAACCAAAACGTCTGGTTTGAATTTTTGTCAACTTGAATGGAACAGTATTTTTTTAAAATTTCCAAAAAAGAAGACAACCCTTGCAAGGTATACCCAAATTTTCGAAAAAATTTTACCCCGAAGTTTTCTTTCCATTCAACTTTGCTCCTGGAATTTCTAGAATTTTCTTTGATGCTATTTCCAAAATTTTGAAAGTTTTGGTTGAATATATGGAAAGCACCACTGGAGTGCTTACCATTTGTATGGAAAAGCCAGTAATTCTGGGGAGAACTCAGATGGAATGGTTCATCCTGGCGGATGAAAAATTTCAGTACCATTTGTCTACAACTACCAGTGCCAGGCTAATTCCGGGAAGACTGCAATGTCCAAGATGGACAGTTCAGGTGATGAAACATTGCAGGTCCAAAACCATTATTTTATGATGTGACAGCTGTTCTATTCTTGTTGCCATTGTTAACAAACTTCTTGCAACTCATCTGTACATGTAGCCGTCTAGATGAGAAAGATATAAGGTTTTGGTCCTTGGTATTTGTGTTTCATTTTTTCATTCATGATTCCTGTTGTTGAGCTTAATGACGCAGGAAATCACCTGCATCTGAAACTTTTGATCAAATGATAACTTTGAATTTGTTCCATGTTTCTTGGTGAGAAAAAGGGCAGTTCCGTTTGTCCAAAAATGTGCCATAAAGTCCATTCAAATGGTAGGCACTCCTCTTTGGCTTGTTGTTTTGTTTTCCCAATGTGTGATATTACGCTGGAGAATTGTTTCTCTGATTCTTTTTTCTCATTCAAGTGCACTGTTCCAAAAATTGTTGAAACGACAAAGGTGTCAAATTCACTGAGAACTTCACAAGACGTATATTATATTAGGAAAACAAAATAATATGCAACCTTAAAATAAGAGGTCTATTTTGTGCTGCAAATCACATAGGCATTCTCTGACAAATATAATCTTAACTAAACTGATTGTATTAATGGAAGGGAGTGAATAGGGGTATGCAAATCGGCCAATCCATTATGATTTATTAACCAAATCTCCCGTTAAAATTTCAGCCTTAATCTAAAATCTGGACAACAATATATATTAATGTTTTTATTACACGTAAAATCAAAAATCTAGGCCCAAAAAATGGATGAATCCACAATCTCTGCAGGATCCAGAAATCTGTGAAAATCTTGTTTTAAATCTGAAATCTAGGCAAAATATTTTCAAAATCCACCGATTCATTGGCCTATTCAACCCCTCCTAATGCAATGAATTTACCATAACAGACAGCAGCCAATATTGCATACATATATTATTGACAAATTATTTAAGACTAAGATAGCTGGATATTGGCCAAGCTCTTTATTGCATTTAATTTCTGTGGACCAAGACAAAGTGGAGTTTCATGACATGACCAATATACAGCTGCCATCTTAAAAAAGATGGCAAGTTAAACCTGTTGAGGTAGCCAGTCAGAACACAGGATTTGCTTCTTCTTGCACCTTGCACATCGACCTAGTCACAGAATAAAAGAAGTAAAAAGAAAACACCCCACTTCTAATAATGTTGATTTTGCTCGTATTATGCAAATACTTGTAAAGGTCAACCACTTTGCTCAAATTTGTCATTTCTCGATGTACCCTATATTTCAATAACCGGCATGTAAGTTATTTCTTTCAGGAGCTAGAAAATAGACATAAAGAAGTAATCATTTATCTTTCTTTCCCCATATCATTTGTGCTAATCTTATAAAAAGCTGATTTTTTGCTCCAGTGATATTTTTTATGCACTGTTGCCCTTTATGCTGATAAGAGACCTATTTTGGTACTGCGTGCTCCTCACCTGTGGGTTGTCTGAAGACTTAATTGCAATCCATTTTGTATCATCTTAGTATTATTTATTGCTATGTTTTCCTCTCTGCAGAGGTTTCAGTAAGCACCAACAACTGACAAAATGTTTGGTTGCTTTATGCTTAGAGAAGTGGCCTACTTTCCTCCCTGAAAATTGAATCTTGGAATGAATTAAAAAAGAAGATTCTGTCAAAGCGTAAATTACAATTCAATTTGATGGATGGACATATTGAATGCACTTTTACCTTAATTTAAAGTATCCATTCTGATCAGAAATATGTTGCGGCTCATTGGATTGACTCAGTCTCACTCCTAAACTGCTCCACAGTTATTTTTGGATTTAGTCACATGGTAACTGTGAGAACAGGGTTGTTATTAAGAGCCGGGGGCCGGGGATTTCCTCCGGCTACTAAGAGAGTGGCCCCCGGCTACTTTCATTGGAAAATAGAAGAAAAAAGAACCAAAAGAAATCCCTAGCCGTTTGATTCCCCGCCTCCTTGTTGTATTTACCCGGCAACTTGAAATCTTAGTGACAACCCTGGAGAAAATGTCTGGTTGCAGAGAGCGTAAAAGATTGTCGCTCTTACTCATACTAGCTCATACTACTGAGTTTTGCATTCTACTAAACTTATATTCAGAGTATTTAACTTTGAGAGATTTAATATTCAAAATCCCAACCGTGAATTTTTGGGAAATCAAAATCTACCAAGATATTTGCAAAGAAATACATGCTATAGATATTTGCCTATTGGAGGTGATTTTTTTGGTGTACTGACAAACAAAAATAAAGCAAGCAAAGGTTTAAGAAGGCTCTACAATGTAAGTGGTTTTGAATTGCAGACACTTGTGTCTTGTCTTTGATAGGATCATAATAAAACTTACTGACACCAGTAATAATGTAATAGATGCTTAAAAGGAAGCTTTATTAAGCAGCTCATAGAAAAACAGGTGATTTAATTGAAGTGTCATTATTTCCTTTCAACAGATTTTGCTTTTAAAGCAGTTGATTGATTATCTGGCCGAAGGAGAAGATAAGGAGTTGAAAGAGTTTGTTAAGGACTTCTTAAATCCTAATTCATCGGTAAGTTCAGCGACAAGAAAGGATTGTAGATATTAGAGTTTCTAGCTACACACGAGAAAAGGCAAGATGGTGCATCATTTTACTGGCTCAGAGATAGTAGTAGTAGCAGTAGTAGTAGTGAACTGTTATTATTAATGTGTCAAGAATCTCTAGCTCATAGCACTGATTGGTGACACAAGATTTTGGAAACTAGCTTAATAATTTGTACACTGTACACTTTCAAGTGTCATAATTGAACATTTCAGAAGCCATAAAACTTATAGTATACCACGGATGGCTTTTCAGAATTCCAAGGGCAAGGAGGGGGGTTGTGGGGGTTCTTTGTCTTGGAAATCTGAAGGCATGAGGGGATTCGCAATTGGAATTCTGCGGGCATGGGGGATTTTAGATCTGGAAATATTTCCACCTGGGACAGACAAGAGTGTATAATATTCCTTGAAAATGCTTATTTTGTGGGCTTAATCAGTTCAGATTTGTGTGTTTCAAGGTTTGTCGCTTTTGAACATCAGAGTTCGGGACACGTGTTTTTGAAAAGCGCAGTTAGTTTTACCTCATCTCTAAGTTTTTTATCTTTTTTACAATTATTGAAACATGGCAAGTGAAATTGTTCCTATAGAGCTTCCAAATCCAGAAGAAACACAGACATTGGAGGGTGGCTGTTCCCTCTAATATTTACTTTTGCAACTTCTGCTCGTTATTGCCGCCTTTATTTGACAAACACAGTGGATGCTATGGTAACGGTTTGATTGACATCCCAGCAAAACCCAAAATCCTGAAATGTTTTTGACTGTAATGACAACGCAGCTTCAGGGTTCACACAGTGTTGAAAAGTCCTTGAATTCCATTTTCCCTTGAAAAGTCCTTAAATTTATTTGCAAGTCCTTGAAAAGTGCTTGAATTTTCTTCAACTTCAAATGTAGTGGCGTGGAAAGTGTTTTTTGATGCTTCAGGTTGTCCAAGACAGAATATAAATCATAGGTCAGAGAATTTGAAGGTTATTGACATAAAATGCTCAATGTTTAATGCAATAATTAAAAAGGAAGAATTTAAGACAAGTAAAGTGAAAAATGTAGAGAAGGTGGTGAAGCAAACAGTTCAAGTGTTAAAGCCTTATTAGAATATACTGGGAATGTGCATTTTTGTACAATCTGTGAAATTAGGTGGTCCTTGAAAATCTAATGTGGTCCTTGAAAAGTCCTTGAAAAATGGTTGCAATTTTTGTATGAACCCTGAGGTTGTGTGTTATCCGAAACAGCTGTACATAACCTCTCTACAATTAAGTCCATAACTGCAGCCACTAAGTGGCATCCAAAGTCAAAGAAACTTCTCCACAATGACATACTAACTGTACTTACTTACCTTGTTTTCTCAACATTTTTGCTCTAGCTTTTCGTCTTCTCCTTTGTGGCACATTTTGGCTTTTTCATTTAGGTTAATTAACTATAAAAAGTTTTTAATTAATAAAAATGCTTTACCCTTTGTCCAAAAAATTGGGTTCACCCTGCTGGCCCTGCCTTCGGATAAGGGTTAGCTCTCTGTGTTTATCCCTTGTATCAGAGGTCCTTGACTCAGTCAAGGTCAGTCTTAAGACTTTCTTTTTCTTTCTTCAGAGAGTAAAACCTGTTGGTCGTGATGCCAGTAATAACATTTATTGGTATTTTAATGGTAAGTGGTGTCATTTTCTAAACAATTTAGGGCTTTGGTAAGTTTTTGGTACTCCCCCCTGTAAGACTTGATACCCAGGTTTAGGGACCTGTTATTGAAAGGTTAATGGTTTTTATTAAATATTATTGCTTTACTATTAATAGAACTGGTTATTGTACACAATGTATTTTGATGATATTATTGTATTGCATAAAATCTGCAAATTTGTAATAAACACTGTTATGATGTAATTACCCTATACCTGAGAAATTTACTGCATCTAAAAGCATGCAAAAGACAAGGGCAAATATACAGTTCAGTAACAATGTCATTATTTTTCAAGACTGTCATGCACTACGAGAGTACCAACTGATTAACAGCATTTCAGTTGAATAGTCAATGAAACCAGTAGCAAGTTTTCCCTTAAGTACAGCAAACTTTTCTTAGTTTTAAAACACTGTAGATCTAATGTGAAACCTTTTTGTTTTGAATGTATGTAATTTGTTTACAAAATGATTTGTCTCTGCAAATTGCAACTATTTTGAATTGTAGAATTTAATCATCAAACATGAGTTCTCCTTATGTAGTATAAATATATTTTTTTCCTGGAGCTGAATTACTTTTTCCTCATACCTGTCAATTAGATTCTGAGAATAAATAAAGCTGTTTTTATTTGATTTTAATCTGTTTATTTTCTTTCTTATTAAAGTGGGATCATAGTTCACACAGAAGTTTTATAGAGTCTGAAATATTTTACAATCTTAAAATGAAGTGGAACATTTTGCATGCTTCATTTAGTTTGCTTGCAAAAATGGAGGGTCATATTTCTCTAAAAAATAGTGCACTCAGACACTGTGTTGGAGTGTTAAAATCCTGATTCAAATTACAAAAGCAGAACTATTGAGTCTTTTTGTTAGCAGTCAATCCTTCTTTTCTTGTTTTGTTATTTTTTTCTTCTTCTGCTTTTCTTGTTATTTGTTGAGAGATGTTTTTTAAGCCATTGTTTGCTCTTGCCAAACACTCTGTGAACTGGCTTTTGTCATGGAAATTTGTCATGCATTTGAGCAATCCAATTTGCATACAGTTGGGCCTTTGGGAGGCTTTGTTGATATTGTAGCTTCCAATGAAAGGAAGCGTATCCCTATAGCAGGTGACGGGCCAGTGAATGATCCAATCACTGAACTTGTTCCTCAAGAGTAGTCAGTGTTTACACACTATTTTTTGCTGTGTTCCAATAGTATCAAAGCAGCCACATTGTTCTTTGGGGTTGTTGACAAGATTCAAATTAAAAGTCCATTGTATGGGTACAAGGAGAATGCAATTAGGCTAAGTCACATGTCAGAACAAACAACAGAAAGGAATAAATGTTTCATGTGGCTTGCATGTTTTGCATATGTTTTAAAAAGTCGTTTTAAGGGAAGAATTGAAGCTCATGGCTTTTTCAGTTGGACTATTTCCAAAGTGGTTTATGGTTGCACTCTAAAATGTAGGTATTGTTATCTTCTTCAAAAATGAAAGTTCTTTTACTATATGTATGGGTTAGATTTGATAGCTGATTCTTGTTAAGCTTGTATTTTGCTCTGCTGGCTTTGTAGTAGAATATATATTTTTAATTTAGCATAATCTAAACTTAACTTGATTTAGTATGTTTGAGGTTGAATTTTGAGGACTTTTAGGCTCTGTGACTTGGCTGTCAGAAGGGACATGCAAAATGTGCTTGTAACATGTGTGAATGAAGACTGACATGCTTTGTCTCAGCATCAAAGGTCTTTCAGAATTCATCCTGGAAGAAGTTTGAATATTTATAAAAGCCCCAGTAGTTTTGTGACCAGCCAAGCATGAATTGTTTACATTGCTAGAACTTGCTCACTGATGAAACTCTTTCTGAGGATTGTGTAGCAGAGAGTCATGGATGTTAAGTTGGAAATACCTTAAGTAGAAAATTTAGTCTTTTTTGTTTACTGTTAAACTTATTCTCTATGACATTTACAGGCATTCTGGTCTGACTGCCTTTGTAGTGGAATATCTCTTGTTAAAAGTGGATCATCTTGTAATTACTTAAATACTCAAAGCAGTGACAGCAGTTTTGTTCTGCAATATATAATAATCCTGTTTAATAGTTCAAGAGGGTATTTCCGGGACTTAGACATCACAGCTCGCAGATAAACACATCAGACCAGTTTAATATGAAGTTCATATCCATTTTTGTTAGTGTAGAGAAGTGAAGTTTCTCACCATCCTGGACCAGCATTATCATAATCATAAATATGCATAAAACTCACAAATTCTTAAGGATGTGTTCTGTTGTTCGAGTTCTTTTTAGTTTCTGCTTACATTATTTTATAAGGTCATTTAGAGTAGTCAAACTAAGACTATTTCTGGAATAATCTTACCACCATTGAAAGTGTTCTTGCATGATTACTCGCTTGTAAGAGTTAAAGTTAAATCCTAGTCATTAACTTAACAACAATAAACATATTAATTTATAAAGAGTTGTACAAAGTTTATAGCTGTATAGTGCAGTTATTGTAGATTAAAGTGTGACATTTCTCGGATTCTCATCACTGGCTATGTTTGGTACGATTTTGTAATTAATTTTTCTTGCCGAAAACCCTAATACCACTCAGGAGAAATCTCTGATATACTGGAAACACTGTGTCTCTAGTAGTCTCTGCATAACATTAACATACATGGATGTTATCGTGTAATATAGCGGGGGATGGAAGACATTATAATGTAACATTACCCAGCTCAATTGCACTAAACAATATTTTTATCAATCCTTACCCTGTAGTTAATAGTGGCCAATGAAAAGGAAAGTAATACAAATTCCAAATTTCTTTCTCTTGAATAATGGTGTGCAAAAGTTCACTGTCAAAGAGTTTTCATTTAAGCAGTAACAACATAGGATTGTCCATAGATTTAAAAGTAAGCTGATGAGGTGATTAATTCCATAAAAAATATATATTCAAAAGGGTCAAATTTTTTTAGAAAAAAAAAAACAGACATTTGGGGTATATAACCCTTCTTCAGTGTTTTAAATGAAAACTGCTTCCTGACACTGAGGAAGGGTTATACCCCCGAAAAGTCTGTTCATCAGCTTACTAAGTACACTTCACGCTTCACCATCTACCATTCATTTAAAAGTAAGCGTGATGAATCGTGCAGCAATGAAGGGTTTAAACTGACCATTGAAGAAACCGTAATTTTGTTTAGCAAATGTTTATGGTCTTTTTGTTCATAAAGTACCTGTAAATCTTATTTTTCCAGATTTAAGACTTTACCGTGAAGTTTTAGGAAAGAAGGGACGCCGAACAGGGTGAGTATTTATCTTTGTAAAATATCAGTAAATCAATACATCAAGCTAGATCTGAATGAGTTGATCAATATAAATTATCCAAAATCAGCCTGATCTATCTGTCTTTGGTTAGGAGTGGTTTTCATGGGATGGCTGTAAAAGCCAAACCAATCAGTTGCAGAAAGCACTCACTTAATTTAAGTGCCAATGTATTAAGCACAACAGTACTTTATATTTTTGAGGACGTTATTTTAGCGTCTCTTACTGGAGATGTGGAGATGACCATCTTGTGTAGTCATCCAAGCCACATTAAGGACACTATTTTAGCATCTCTTACTGGAGACTTGTGGATGACCATCTTGTGTAGTCATCTGAGCCTGCACATGAGGTGTAGTCGTTTGCAGGGCAAAGGCAAAATCTTCATTTCTCAGTTTTTGTTTTTTGTCAGACCCTGAATATTGGTCCGGTCCCGGGGATCTTACCTGTGACCTCCTGCTGTCAAATGCTTTAAATCATTTCTGCAAAGCAAAGTGAAACTTTATCTAAACAAGTTGGCCCATTGATTCAATATTTTATTATGGTACCTATAAGGGCCCTGCATCTACAATTTACGTTTAAAGGATGAAACATTGTCGGTTGCCTCTAAGCATAAACAAGTCACGAGGAAACCCTGGCCTAATTTGGAAACAAACGTACTGTAGTCAGAGGTTTAAATCTAAGTTAGGTGACTTTTTACACAAACATCTCACTTTTTGAGCGAAACACGGAGTAACTGCGCGTCCAAAATCAAATATTTGAAGAACAAACAGGTTTTGTTTGATGTCAAATCTAATAGGTCATGTTTTATCGCGACGATATTAAAATACGTGTCTATTTGAGTGCTAATTATATATAAAGTACAAGAGCACTAATTGAGAATACTACTCTTACGTCTCCTACTGGAGACGGGACCGTTATTTTACATGGTCATCCGACGCACGCAAAGGTGTATCCGTTTGCAAGGCAAAGGCAGTACCTTCATTTCTCAGTTGTTTTGGGACCATGAGTTTGGTCGGCCGGCTTATCTTTTTTCTTCAATAGTTTGATATAAAAGGTGCTACCACAAAATCGAAAAAAAAAAACCCTACAAGACATATAACTAAAAAATATTGACGTTCTTATGGCCAATAAACGGGTGTGCAAATATGCTAAATGACAGACGCACAATCTTAAGAACCGATTAAATGGAGTCTAACTGTAGCCTGTCATACGATTTACAAACTATCACTGGAAATCAACTTCCGAATTTTGTTTTCTTGGAGAAAATATTGCCTCCGGCCTACCGCCCAGGCCTTATAATATCTGTAAAATATCTGTACAAACTTCTCAAAATTTTTATCATTAAGTCTAATCCTTACTATACATACATACAGTCATACATACGGTTATTGCGCTCCCTGAAAAGGGCTTTTCAGCAGCAGTGTTCAAAATAGGTAGTTTGAAATTAACACAATGAAACTTGTGAGAGAAAGGAAAAATGGTATTAGAAATGAAAGTTATTTAAAAAACTATATTCAATGTCTAAAACTTAAACTACGTAAAATACGTCGGTTTAAAAACAGTTCAAAAAAGTTCCATTGAGTCATTTACTGAGAAATTAAACTGATGGTCAGTTTTTCCTAGTATCATCCCTTGGTGTTTGCTGGGATTTGCTATCATTCCATTGATCTCGTACCAGGCATTTGCTGAGCTAACCTCACGCGAGATACGCCTTTCCAAAGATACCGGATCCGTATCGGCGGTGTAGAGTTGACCATCATCTGCATACATATTTAATTGTACAGTTTTGATTTGTAGGAATAAATCATTTATGAAAATATTAAAAAACATTGGACCAAGAACACTGCCTTGAGGTACCCCTCGCATGACTTCTTGCCAATCAGAACTTGTATCACCTACTTTCACCCGCTGCATCCTACCTTGTAAGTAATCTTTAAGAAGCATACAACTTCTACTGTTAACACCATAGGCCTTCAGCTTGGCCAGCAAGAGTCCATGCGGTATCGTGTCGAAAGCCTTAGATAAATCCATTGATATCACTGCAACAATTTGTTTATTATCCAGACTACGCTTCCAATCTTCTGTTAACCTCATTAGCGAGGTTTCACAGCTATAGTGTCTCCTATAAGCTGAGATGTAGTCAGACAATATTTCAGAATAGAACTGGTCTAGTTGAGAAGCAAGAAGTTTCTCAAAAACATTATTTAGGGCCGGTAAAACAGTAACGGGTCGANGGCTCTGTGACTTGGCTGTCAGAAGGGACATGCAAAATGTGCTTGTAACATGTGTGAATGAAGACTGACATGCTTTGTCTCAGCATCAAAGGTCTTTCAGAATTCATCCTGGAAGAAGTTTGAATATTTATAAAAGCCCCAGTAGTTTTGTGACCAGCCAAGCATGAATTGTTTACATTGCTAGAACTTGCTCACTGATGAAACTCTTTCTGAGGATTGTGTAGCAGAGAGTCATGGATGTTAAGTTGGAAATACCTTAAGTAGAAAATTTAGTCTTTTTTGTTTACTGTTAAACTTATTCTCTATGACATTTACAGGCATTCTGGTCTGACTGCCTTTGTAGTGGAATATCTCTTGTTAAAAGTGGATCATCTTGTAATTACTTAAATACTCAAAGCAGTGACAGCAGTTTTGTTCTGCAATATATAATAATCCTGTTTAATAGTTCAAGAGGGTATTTCCGGGACTTAGACATCACAGCTCGCAGATAAACACATCAGACCAGTTTAATATGAAGTTCATATCCATTTTTGTTAGTGTAGAGAAGTGAAGTTTCTCACCATCCTGGACCAGCATTATCATAATCATAAATATGCATAAAACTCACAAATTCTTAAGGATGTGTTCTGTTGTTCGAGTTCTTTTTAGTTTCTGCTTACATTATTTTATAAGGTCATTTAGAGTAGTCAAACTAAGACTATTTCTGGAATAATCTTACCACCATTGAAAGTGTTCTTGCATGATTACTCGCTTGTAAGAGTTAAAGTTAAATCCTAGTCATTAACTTAACAACAATAAACATATTAATTTATAAAGAGTTGTACAAAGTTTATAGCTGTATAGTGCAGTTATTGTAGATTAAAGTGTGACATTTCTCGGATTCTCATCACTGGCTATGTTTGGTACGATTTTGTAATTAATTTTTCTTGCCGAAAACCCTAATACCACTCAGGAGAAATCTCTGATATACTGGAAACACTGTGTCTCTAGTAGTCTCTGCATAACATTAACATACATGGATGTTATCGTGTAATATAGCGGGGGATGGAAGACATTATAATGTAACATTACCCAGCTCAATTGCACTAAACAATATTTTTATCAATCCTTACCCCGTAGTTAATAGTGGCCAATGAAAAGGAAAGTAATACAAATTCCAAATTTCTTTCTCTTGAATAATGGCGTGCAAAAGTTCACTGTCAAAGAGTTTTCATTTAAGCAGTAACAACATAGGATTGTCCATAGATTTAAAAGTAAGCTGATGAGGTGATTAATTCCATAAAAAATATATATTCAAAAGGGTCAAATTTTTTTAGAAAAAAAAACCCAGACATTTGGGGTATATAACCCTTCTTCAGTGTTTTAAATGAAAACTGCTTCCTGACACTGAGGAAGGGTTATACCCCCGAAAAGTCTGTTCATCAGCTTACTAAGTACACTTCACGCTTCACCATCTACCATTCATTTAAAAGTAAGCGTGATGAATCGTGCAGCAATGAAGGGTTTAAACTGACCATTGAAGAAACCTTAATTTTGTTTAGCAAATGTTTATGGTCTTTTTGTTCATAAAGTACCTGTAAATCTTATTTTTCCAGATTTAAGACTTTACCGTGAAGTTTTAGGAAAGAAGGGACGCCGAACAGGGTGAGTATTTATCTTTGTAAAATATCAGTAAATCAAGACATCAAGCTAGATCTGAATGAGTTGATCAATATAAATTATCCAAAATCAGCCTGATCTATCTGTCTTTGGTTAGGAGTGGTTTTCATGGGATGGCTGTAAAAGCCAAACCAATCAGTTGCAGAAAGCACTCACTTAATTTAAGTGCCAATGTATTAAGCACAACAGTACTTTATATTTTTGAGGACGTTATTTTAGCGTCTCTTACTGGAGATGTGGAGATGACCATCTTGTGTAGTCATCCAAGCCACATTAAGGACACTATTTTAGCATCTCTTACTGGAGACTTGTGGATGACCATCTTGTGTAGTCATCTGAGCCTGCACATGAGGTGTAGTCGTTTGCAGGGCAAAGGCAAAATCTTCATTTCTCAGTTTTTGTTTTTTGTCAGACCCTGAATATTGGTCCGGTCCCGGGGATCTTACCTGTGACCTCCTTCTGTCAAATGCTTTAAATCATTTCTGCAAAGCAAAGTGAAACTTTATCTAAACAAGTTGGCCCATTGATTCAATATTTTATTATGGTACCTATAAGGGCCCTGCATCTACAATTTACGTTTAAAGGATGAAATTACATTCTTTAAAAGCTCAAGATTACAATATGAAACCTAAAACTAATGAACTAATAATTATCAGTGTTTAAGTTCAAGAAGAGGGGCATCGAGAGTGCTTGGGGGGTGGGGGGAGGTGGGGGCAAACACTGTCCTATCCCAAAGAAAAATCAGGTAATACAGTACTGGAATAATGAAAGTATTGACCAAAGGGCAAAGATGCCACATTCTGCAATATCATGATTTGTGATTAAAATAACTGAAATCAAGCTTTAAATAATAATCTAACTTTACAGGGCTGCAAACGCTCCTAGATGCCCCTTGTTACTGTCATACACAAACAATCACTGTTGGGCAAAAACCTGGCAAAATGTTAAAATGGTCAGTGCAAAATGTAGCTTGTAGCTCATTGCCACTGATCTTCCTCAGTGGTGATGAGCAAGGAGAAACCAGGGGTGGCACTTGGGTATTTTTTGGCTGGGTATGTACCACCTGGGACTCCAAATTGGCACCCCGTTCTAAAAAAAATTCCCCTAAAATTGATACCCCGAGCTAGAAAATTATGGGCCAAATTATTTTTTATACCCCGTTCTAGAATTCGCCCGAAAACTGATACCCCGTTCTTGAAATGGGCCAATTTTTTATACTCCGTTCTAGAAAGTTTGTAAATTGAAATAGCCCTGTTTTTATAAAAAGATATTTCTTTATTTGTTCGACTTATACATCAAATAAATTCTTCTTCATAATCATCCGGAGTACGTTTCCTGTGCATGTGGATACAATGCGGTTAATTATGACACAAAATCTCTCACCATGCACAGAACCACGCTACTAAGTCAACGATTTCCCTTCTCCTCCCCCGGCCCTTTCTTTTGAGCCTGTCTCCATCTCCCTCAGGTACATTATGGACTCGTTTCAGACTTGTGCGGGCCTATTTATCTATGATGGTGGAGTCAGCGCTCGCGGCTTGCGCCAAAATACACCCGCCCTACCTTTTAAAACACAGGGTGCAACAAGAGTACAAGGGTTTGCTTGTTAACACATTGAACCATATTTTTAAAAGCAATCTGTCCTTGAATAATTTCAAATGGCTGCTTACAAAACTGGAGCTTTTGTGCGTTTGAAATATTATACCCTGTTCTAGAAAACGCCTCTGAAATGGATACCCCGTTCTAAATCAGGAGCTTCAAAATCACAACCCTGTTGGGCGGCACATACCCATATAGATAATGTATGGGAGTACCCCCCCCGGGGGAGAAATGTCTGGCATTTGCATTTGTAAAATGTATCTACCTCTGAGACAACCTTCTTTTACAAACATTTAGAGGAAAGATCTTGTTCTTATGCCTACTATCAAAGCGAAAACTAAACTGGTTTGTTCCTGGGGACTGGAGCAATACTCAGGTTCTCCAAATAACTGAGGAATGAAGGAGTATGCCTTTGACCCACAAATGGCTCGGCCTTCCCATGGATTGAATGAGCACATAGAATGGCCGCTCCATCTCCTGTAGGAGATGTAAATTGTCCACTATTAGTAACGGTGTGCTAAATTCTTTAACACTCAAATTAAGTGCGCTTTTTACTGAAAAGAATGTGAAATTTGATGAAGACAATGATTTGTGTAAAGGCTGCAAGTTATTTCAATACATTCAATTTATTTTGGACTACCTAAATCAGATTTTTGTATGGTAAACAAATATTACTTACTTTTCATGTAATTTTTGTCATGAAGGAAAAATATTTAAGTTTTTTGGGGTGAGTCAAGTCTTAAAACCTTTTGGTCAAACATTTTGTTCTCTTATTTGAAAATTCAAACTCCAGCTGCAGTTTCCAGATCAGCAATGTATACGATATTATTATCTACCCAAAGTCATAAATGGATAATTATTTATATTTGTCTAGCTGTGCATGATAATTGCAAACATGCTGTTTGAACAAATTAAAGGCAGTATAAATATACATTAGAATGTGAATTGTACATATCCACCATATTATTTTGATCTTTTAAAACTCTTATTCATTTAAGAAGCTACTGATGCTCATAAGCTTGTAGGACGGAAAAAACTATGATCTCGAAAACAATTGTGTTGTAAAGAAATACATTTGGAATATTAGCAGTGAAGTAGTTACCTCTCCGAATTTTATTTTAACACTTTACTATGCAAACAAACAATGATGATGTTTATGTTTGATGGGAATAGCTGTACCATATATGGCAGGTTGTGTCTTAAATTTCCATTATTGTGATTTGCCAAGAAAGAGAAATTAAATAAACCATGAAGCTGTTATGTTAATCAGCCTTTTCAACCAGCTGGTGGCTCCACAAATACTGAGTGTAGTGCTGCCATGTGAAGCATATTTAATGAAGGTGTATAACCTGAACACTGTTAAGTCCTCTCTTGTCTTTGGCACCTTTTGTTCAGAGGCTTAAATTCAATGATCAAGACACCTCACCAGCAACGGGTATCAAAAATGGTGCCTTCTTGAACTCGTAAAGTTTTGTTGTGGGTGAAATTTTTCAGACGAAAAGTGGTTGCTGGGAGTTCTGAGTAGCTGATGTGGTATTTTACATATGTTTTGTTTTTCAGCTGGGAGACTGTGTGTATAAATTGCACCGACTGGGAAAACCTTCTGAGGTAAGAAATTGTGAGGGTTTTTAAGGAGTTCTTGTTTAGCTGTTATTGAGAACTGGTGAGGTTGCAAAAGTTCAAGCGAAGATTATTTTAAAATGTATCAGTAAATGTAGTTAATTGTTCTGTGTGCAAGTCAGTTTATTCATAACTGCTCATGGTGTTCATTCTTTCACTCGCATGTGTAGAGTATGATCACCCTCAATCTGTGAATTTGTACTTTGAGTTGAAATTGGGATTTTTTTAAAGTCAAAAGTGTGATGCATCCAAGGCTGCATTAATGGTAGACTCTCTTCTCAAAGTATATCCCTGCCAATCATTTACATCTTTTTCGACATTATTCTGAAAAGTTTATTTTCACTGTGAAATGCTGACTTGTAAGAGGATTTATATTTGCTCTTGAATGAACAAATTTGTTTTGTTTGCAACGTGGTGAAAAAGGATGCTTTTTTGTAAGTGGTGGGTGCATGTAGTTTTCTTGCTGTTCTTTAAGTATGATAGGTTGTCAAAAGCTAATTTATTCACATCACAAGACCAAATGGGAATGTATTTTATAGCTGTCTTTAAGTACGATGGCTTCAAATAAGTTTTCTTTGGTTGAAAAATTTAGTAGCCAGATGAGTTTTTGTTTTCTTTCATGGTCCTGAGATTCATTATAATCCAAACTGGAGATAAAGGAAAACATAAATTTGCGCTCAACTATGTTGGACATTTTTAAGCTAAACAATGATTTAATTAACATTTTCACCTTCTTTGCACCTAATCTGCCTATAATATTGTCATGAATGTGTTTGCAAGCAGTTAACATTTAAACAAAATCTACTGGAATTTGTGACATTTTCAGATAACTTACTGTAATTGTGTACATGGTAATACAATAAAAGAAGGACATGGTATTTACTTTTTTTTAACTGCAGCTAGAAGGCATGACCTACTTTATTATTGCTGCTATTCAATGAGTCAGCATATTTTACAATACATGACACCTGATCCACTGTGATTGAATTGAAAAATGATCAACAAATACTCAACCCTCCCATTCATACTAATATTTTGTTATAAGACAAGGTATTTTCTCTGCAAATTTTTGAGGTTTTAGCAAAGCGGAAATTCAAGTGTGTTTGTTAAAGATTTTAAAAAGAGAAATTAATTGACCATGATGAAACATACGTCATTGATAATAAAAAAAGTTGAATTAGCAAATAAGTAATAACCAATTCTATGAATAGATGTGCTATTGAATTCTCTATGACTATCAATTTCAATTTTATTGTCATTAGATGTAATAATATATTGTTATAATGAAACTATTTACCAATATTAGAATTATTACAGGCAAACCTCCATTTCTACTACTTGTGTCAGGGAATATTTTAGTTTCTGATGAGTTGTAGCCCTGAAATTTCAGTTAATTTTAACGTCTAATTAATGCAGCAAGGTAAGGAAATAAGCATAATTTAACTGTGTTTCACAGGTATTTTATTGATGATTTATTCGTTTCAACAGTACCTTTCAGAAGAGTAGTAACAGTAATGAGAAAAAGTTGTACAAATACCTGAAGAATGAGCTCTACCCATCTGTGATGCCAACAGTTAAGGTCAGCTATAATAAGTTTGTTTAAACAGCCATTTTTTGTAGTTACGGGTTATGCCTCTTTAATCCAAAAGTAACTTCCCCGGCAGTTGCTGAAACAATGGATAGCGCTATCCACCGTATAAATCAATATCCAGTGGATAAGTATTAGGAAAACCAATTGCACTATCCAGTGGATAGAGATTTATACGGTGGATAGCATTACCCACCTTTTGAACAATTACTGGGGCCAGGTAAATCACTAATCCTGTGGTCGAAAAGTATAAGCCAAACCAATGGCGTTATCCACTGGAGAGAGATTTATCCAGTGGTAACACTATCTACCTTTTGAGCTGTTCCCGTATGGCAAACATACCTGAATTTCTGGTGTCTAAGATTGAGAGCATTCAAAAAGGAGCTATGCATATCATTTTTGCTATGTGTAGTTGTGATGAGGCATTATCTGGACTTTCTCTCACTACATTAAATGAGAGAAGAGTCCACTTGTGTCAGGTCTACATTGCAAGATTAAGAACGAAAACCACCCGTTACACTTTATTCTCCCTAAGCTTCTCCATGAGCCCCCACGCCAATGGAACCAGGCACCTGTCACACTGATTTATCAGTGTGACAGGTGCCTAGTTCCATTGGAAAAATGAAGCGGGGGAGGGATGGGGGTAAAAGAATGATCAAAAGGCTAAACAAAGAGAGTGCCCGCCAGGAAAACGTTGTACTAAGTACATTGAGGTAATGAAGCAAGGCCGACTGCACTTGAGCCAAACGATTGACTGCTGACTATGTCCTTGCTCCTCATTTTTAACTGTGTTAAATAAATTTAACTTCATTATAATTATTACAGTGGTATTACAGGAAATTAATGGCTTATCACTCTCATATGGCCTGAAAGTTCAATGTCTACTACTTGAAAAAATGTTGAGAAAATAAGCACCCTGCAGGATAGCCACCTCTTCATTTGCCTATAATTTTACTCCCATTTAGAAGTATAGCTGTTATCTCCTAGTTCTAAATGGGCTTTGTGAATACTTGAATTTTCAGGAAAATGAGAAAGAAAAGAAACTGGAGACTGTAACGAAGGAGAGCCCCTTAAAGGCTCATCACAAGGTATATTTACAGGACTCAGCTAACTTGACTGCTATTTGATAGCTGCCTTATCATGTCCTTATTCAGTTAGGGACTTGTCAGAAATTAGCAGGGGGGGAGCGGGGGTAGGAATTTTAAATTTGGGTTCGGAAATGAGGTGACCCATCCCTGCAATGGAAGTAAAATTTGCTAACCCTCCCCTTGACCTTCAATGGCCTAAAATATCATGACCCTCCCCCTCTTTTATAAATGATAAAATCTAGTTCTTGCAATACACTAGGGTGAGTCAGTATTATGAAAGCTCAAAGTATATTTCTAATCTGTTCTTTGTAATGCCATATACATACATTTTAGATGACAGAATTAAGAGTCCGACTTTGATTCTGACAGCTGATCACTCGACTCTCCTATTTCTCCCAATTTTTTTTTTACAAAATAAAGAACTTCTTTTTTCTCCTGTGGGTGAACCTCTAGATGATCACGGACACATATTTGCATGACCCTCCCCCTTTTAACGGCCCATTTTTCATGACCCCTCCCTTTTCTGCAGTCTCAAAAAGTTGTGACCCTCCCTCTGTTTCCACCCCCCTCCCCTCCTGCTAATTTTTGACAAGTCCGTTATGCTATTGAAGTCTGGGCTTCAGGGTGCAAAGAAAATCATTTTTGCAGATTGCTATTCAGGCAAGCTGAAGCTAGCATTTACTAGCCCAAACATCATTTCAACGAGCCCCAAAAACTTTTTGATGAGCAGAATTGATTTCACAGTTCTTCTTCTATTTGAATTCCCTCAAAAACATCACTTGCCCATTGGGCAGGATAAGAACAGAATTCACTAGCCTGATGGCAAAATCCACTAGCCCTGGGCTATCTACTTTCTTTGCCTGTACTTATGATAGTAAATACCTTTCTCAGATAGATAGGTCTTGTAAGTGTGCAGTCAAATATGGCTATACTGCTAAGTTAACTCCTATAACTGATTAAATACCAGAAAGAGATTTGGAGTTATGGAAGAAGGTGACCATTGACAATCACTGTTTAAATGAATCATTCTTCTCCCCATGATGCTTATGCGGAATCTACGAGACAATGTCATGATTAAGTTTTGTCACTTATTAGGACTGAAAGGTTCAAGCGATGTTTTATCAAAAGATCTTTTTAATTTTATTTGATTTTTTATGTACAGGTTATATTTTAGTATTATATTATTATGCGATTATTGTTAACTCACATGTACGCTTGTGGGTGTTATTTTCAATATTATTTTCATCATCATTATTATATTGAACAGAAATACAGCTTATCTTCAGTTATTTAATTATAATTATTTAACATTATTCCTCATGCCCGAATGGGATCAGAGTCAATAGCCCATGAGGCCAAAGGCCGAATGGGCTATTGACTCAGAGGCCATGAGGGCGAGAGGAATAATTGTTTTAGTAAAATCCAACTAGCTGGTCAAAAATATCGAGACAAAACAACTTTAGCTGGTTAAAGCTAGACTTTAATCCCTTTTTTGCCACCAAAAAGCTGGCGCTTTCGCTACTAGAGGGCTACAACATATAGCCTTGTAGTAGCTCAACCAATCAATCTTATCTCAGACTTTTCAATAAACAACTTTAGGGAGCCAGGACGTTTTGAACCTGTGAAACCTAAGGTGTCTAAAATCTTAAGTTTTGTTACCTGTAAGTAATAGCATAGGCCACTGGATACTGCTAACATACAGTGCAGATAAACACGAGGAGGTTCAAACACATCCCTCCTCCAACCTGCTGGGCTTGATAGATATTTGTACTATTGACAAAGTCAGATGAAATTAATTTACGGTCTTTCCATAAGACCGAAGCTATCAGACAACACTTTTTTGGTGCCCTGTATTGGAACTAAATAATCTTATGTCTTATCCTGCTAGTGTACAGTTGTACCAAATCATGATCAACCTATTTTTGTATCCCTTTTCCAGATCTCTTCAGTTCTGTATATACCTGTAACTGCTGTATTTATTAGTGTGCATTTTTCTTGTGTATTTAATACAGGTAGCTTCCAAACGTAAAACAGATAAAAATGCTGTTTTGAAAAAAGAGGAAGAGAAGGAGGAAACAAAGGTATATTCTGTAGCTGAAAAATACCAGTACATGTGCTCAAATTTATTTATTGAGGAAGCAGTGTGGGGACATGGCTAGGGCTATGGTTGTCCACATTTTGCCAGCATAATGTTGAGCATAATAGTGAGGCAAAAGAATTGAGCATTGTAATGGAATAAATTTGTAACTTGTCAAAACGTTGCCAAACAGTAAGATTTCCATGTGAGATACCAGCTTGAATAACAATTTTAAGACCAGGCCTGGTTAGAAATTTTTTAATAGCAAGTTCCAATTCTGCAACATTTGTCAGCGGACTCCTTAGATGAGTCATCTGACAATCGAGCAGGGAAAATCATGCAAAGAGCAGTTTTGCATTAATTATTATAATGGAGCATGAAAAGCAAAGACATTTTTTTGGTTTAGATTAAAGAATTAGCATTATTGTGTGAAACATTGAACATCATTTGGACAGCCCTACTTAAGGCTCTGTACATTCATACCAAAGATCCTAAGTTTAAATCAGGTCCTGATTAATGGCTAGCCTGTAGAGCAGACATATACTACTTTGGTAAAGCACTCAGTAGCTAATCTTCCCTCTCTCCCTCCCTCCCTGTGTGTGTGGTATCCATCTCTGATGTTGAAAGGAGTTGAAGGTTGAAGATAGAGTAGAAAGGGTGATTTGTAGTGGGGGGAGGGGGGTAGGGGATATGATGTTTCTATGTTTGACTTATCCCCTACTTAAAATAACCCCAGTAGGTGTGGTAATATATGAAAACTGAACCACGACAGTACTATTTTTTGTACAAAGTTTATGTTCAGTACAAAGGCTGGGGCGATTGTATGAGAGGGGGATGGCAGGGGGGATGTAGCTTCCAGCACCTTCCCTTACCTTCATCATTCATTAGAGTGCTGCCTTTTCTTCTCTTACACCCTTGTCACAGTTTCTTACATTGATGGTACAGGTTTTGAGAGACCTCTTTGTTATGTCAATTAAAGCTCTTTTCTGCTCTTTTCACTTACACAACAAGATTGCAACAACAGAAGATAAAAAAAGTGCACCGTCAGAACAAGACGAGGAGGACACGACAGAAGAAGACCAAGAGCAGGAGGAGGAGATCTCAGACGCTGACGAAGACTTTGACCCAGACGACGAGGAAGATAGCCCACCTCAAAGAAAGAAAAGAAAGCTTCCAGCAGCGGCTCTGCAGCCAGGGCAGCAGCAGCAGCCAAGGAGGAGGGGCCGACCACCTGCGAGTAAAGGAGCAGTTACAGATTCCCAAAAAGTAGTGGAAAAAATTGAGAGAAGAAGGAAAAAAAGTGAGCAGGAACAGGAACAACTGGAAAAAGATATTCAGGTGGTTAAAACAAAAAACAAACTTAATGACATTTGTCATGTTAACTGTTGTATGCTTGTAAATCTCTTGGCAATGAAGATTAACCAGCACATTGCACTAGGCGAAACTAGGAGGTTGATGATTACATTGATGATTATAGAGTAGCTGTTCAAATGTATGTGTAAAAGACATAGTGCGGCAACGTGAAATTCAAAAATAACATGCAGTGCAGATATGGACTAGTACCTTTTAAGCATTAGCAGTACGAAAAATGACACAGCATGACCGGTTTTTAGTTAATTTAATATTTTTTCTTCAGTAAGAATGTTTCATAAACCAATCGAGAAAACTGGGCTAGAGGTTTGTTAATAGTATTACATGTTATTTGAGGTAGGTGTCTACTTGAACCGCTTTTGTTTTCTTTAGGAGAGAAAGCAACTGGAACAACGTGTGGAGGAAGAAATGCAGAAACAAGAATCAATAATAAGCGCAGTTGGTGGTGAATCAAGAGCGAAAAGGCGCTGTGTTATCAGGCGTGAACAAATGAGCAAGAAAAAAGAATGGTGGGAAGAAGAGGAGCTTGGGTTCGAGTCAGATGAAGACAATGAAAGAGAGATAGGTACAAATATCACATCTCAACAACTTGTTCCTTGCAACTGGGGCCCGTTTCTCGAAAGGCCCGGAAACTTTTCGGGCCCAAAGGCAAATTTTAAAATCAAAACCTGTTGAAGAGAAGCACAGTTTCTAGCTCACGAACCAGTCAATTTTGCTTCGTTAACTGATAGTTTTATTCTCTCATTTTCAATATTATTGAAACTTCGATCTTGAATGCAAACACGGCAAACATAAAACAGCTTTCCGGGCCCGAAAAGTTACCGGGACTTTCGAGAAACGGGTCCTTGCTCGTAAGGTGTCACCAAATATTTCCATTGCTTTAAGGGCTAGAGTAGCAAACCAATTGGCCTTTGAAATGGTAATTTCTTTGTTTGTGTTGTCCCGGTGTGTATCACGTGACTGATCAACAGCAAGAGGTTAATGACTATCGGCCAATGAGAATAGAGACAATGAAATCCCACTATTGTGTACATATGCACTATTGTACTATTGATATGTGTACATATTCAGATCTATGAACATCCTCATTTACCGCTCTGATCGACCCTGACAGTGTTTTTTTTATTTTTTAATTTTAAGATTCAGATAACTCAGATGGACCCAGACGTCGGAAGAAACTAAAATTTCCAAAGCCAGCTGAAATGCCTGAGCCACCCAATAGGATTTACGTGTTTTCAACGGGTCTTGCCAACCGAGCAGCGGAGGCTGTGCAAATGGGTAGAGTGGAAAGTATTTCTTCGTTTCACAGGGCGCAGCCATCCAGTTCGCCATTTCTTAAAGTTGAACAAACGAACGTTTTCGGCAAACAAAAGCCTTTCTACCCACAGCAGTACTCCATGAGGAGTTCTGTTGGTCATATGGGGGGACAAATGGCAAGTCTCTCAGCAGGGATGACAGGTGGTATGCAGTCGAATGCTGTCAGACCTGGTTACGGAACTTCTCAGTGGGATCAGATGCAGGCTCAACAGTCCATGTACAAAGACAGGCAGCGGCAGACACAGTCGCAAGCTATGGAAGACATTCACCAGCTCTTGTTTGGAAACTCGCACAGCAGCAACAGTCAGGCTACATCAGGAGTGAATGGAATGTACTCTAGAAGTGGTTATAACCAGCAGGGAGGGGTGGGAGTGGAACAGTCTGGTTCCTTCACTGGATATCCTCGAAGTGCGGCTCCCCAACAATCAGCACCTTATATGGAAAGACGCACGTCTGACATGCGCGGCCAGACTACACAGCAGTCGCATTTTCCCGCTTTCAGTCAACAGGCAAGTCAACAACAGCAAGGATACTTTCACAGACCGAGACATCTTGGAGGCCATCCGGCCCAAGGAAATTCAAATTCACCGTCTTCGGATCCCTTAGGGGCTGGAGTGCGCTCCCCACCGCCTCCCTACCCTGGCGCTCGACCACCCGACGCGAGACATACAAAGAACAGTCCAGTACCATCGCCAACAAATACAGGATCACCACACACTCCACAAACGCCACTAACACCACAAACACCACGATTCCCTGGCCCGTCACCCAGCGAACCTAGTAAACCAACATTCTCGCCTTCACATCCACAAGGAAGCATGGGTGGTCCGTCGATGGCCAACTACCCTGTGCAAGGAGCACAGGCTGGGCAGCCTGGGCTTAAAGCTGAAGAAAGACCTATTAACTCTCAACCTCGTCCCGGGTTTATAGACCTATCTAGCAAAACACTGTCACATGGGATACAAAATCCATATTCATCAGTGATGGGCAATTACAATCAAGCTCATTCGCCTTTAGATCGTAGACCAGAGGAAAACAAATCGCCTGCATTTGGAACACATAATAATCACGAAAGTCCGCTGCATTCGCCTACCGACCGTTCACCAGCTTCTCATTTCGCCGCCGCTTGTGGACCGCCCAACAAGAGTCCATTCATGCGCCCGCCAGGTGGTCAACCCAACCTTAATAACAGTACAGTATTTGCGACAACAGGTTCTACTATACAAGTACCAAAGTCGTTTTCGGTAGAGAGCTTGACCGCACCCAGCCAGCCACACTTGGACAGGAGTAGCATTCCACCTTCACAGTTATCTGAACAACCAATGCCTCAGTACAGCAGTCTTTATTTTCCTTCAAATAAATATCCTCCCGTGTTTGGACAGCCACAATACCAGTATCCTGCTCACATGCAACACCCTGGAGCGTTTTACAACTCTCAACTGACGCCCAATATGTACCTGGGAAGGGCTTCGCTCCCTGTGTACCCACCAACCAGGGACGCTGGTCTTTAGTCTAAGGCGTGGCTAAGTCAGCTAATTCTTCGCTGGTGAAACAGTGGTAATTATCATGATATAAAAAAGCTGCCCTTTGCGGGTTTCTAACGATAAGAGCAATCCAAGATAGAGATTGGATATTACAGCTTAACGTTGGAGAAAGTAATTGTTCGATAAACTGAGATATCCGCGAATAGTTTGGATTACCATTTTGACCAAGGCAGACAATACAGTAGAATACATTAATCTGACATTACAGAGCATATACAAGGATCGTTGACAATAAAATACGTGTCTCGCAAGGAAGGCAGTTATTGGTGATGAGCAAATTTTGAAGGTTTTCCTGTGCATCTTTGTTCCCATACGACTGACTTTGCAGAGTCTCCGCGGCATCACGACAGAGAAAACTGAGTAAGCCACTTCCTAGCACGTAAAACTGTCATGTAAACAACTTGTGCATGTTTATTAAGTTGTAACTCATGTTGTGTTACCATACAGTGAGTGTAGCAACCCATTAACAGCTTGTAGTAGTAAAGTGGTTGTCTACCACAGTTACCATAATCATCTTCATCAAACCCGGACCAGTAGCTCAGTATCTGTAAGGAGCAGCTATAACGTACCGCACCAGCATTCGGTCACTCCCTCTGTAAAGGGGGAATGCAAGTTAAGTTGTCTTTTTATAAAGCAGTAGTTAAAAGTATAGATTGAGTTATGAACTAAACTTACCAGGCTGCGAACTCTTCCTCATTTTTGACGTACACGAGCAAAAAAGGAAGAACAAGAGTAGCACTTTTATTCAACACTCCACGGGAAACTTCGAAAAAGGAAGAGATCGCAGTCTTTTGCCTAAATCAGTTTTATAAATTTTATTTCATTTTGTTGCGTTTTATAACTGATTCACAGTGCACTTTGTCAGTAGGAACGGTAAACCTTACATGTTTATAGTCATTTATTTTTAACGCCCATTTCAGCGAGTGTTATTATAAATTCGGTGAGCTGTAGATCATTCACAGAGGGGAAAGTAACTGCAAAAAGCATGCAGGCGTCTTTGTGTGATATTTTCTGAGTAACACCTTTGCTTTGCCATTCGCTCCCGAAATGTTTGTGGTGTGCTCGTCCCTTAAAGGAAAATTATAAAGTTGATTCCTTTAATCACTTTTCCAGATAAATTGCAGTGTAGTGAATTCAGTTGAGCGTATACAAAACCTCGTGCACTTTCTCCACCAATCAAAGGTAAAAGGAAAACTAGTCGTTGGCCGAGTGCGGCATTTTTTTTGATAGGCAAAAGGGCTGCAACACTCCGTGGAAAAGAACCGACATCTGATACCGCCCTGAGGTGAACTCCTCGTGCTGTGGTGTTTCCCCTTTTTTTATTTTTCTGTTAAAATAACGAAAGAGAAGAGTAAGGATCATTCATAAGTGTCTGCAGTTTAAATGTATGAAGATTTTGTAAACAATGTTGGAGGGTGTTTTCATGCTTCTCGATAAGCTATTTCTGTTTTGGCATGAAAATGAACTCCTTTTTAGGCCTTCTCCAGGACCTCCTACGGGTTCTGAACTATAGAATCTATTCAGACAGATTGTGTTAACGAAGGGGTTCTTTTAACACGCAAGTTCCTTTAGTAGATAACTCTGTTAGCTGAAAACGCTACTCCTGAGAATAATTTAAAAACGTCAAGTAACAAGCTTTCACTCTCGGAAACTTCAGAGGCAGAGTTGAGGCAGAGTTCAGAGTTGATTACTAAATCTTAGCAATTTCGTTTTACGCGTATTTTTCCGCGCATGTTGTAGCTTTGAAGTGTGCTAAGAAACGTTCTCCAGAACATCGGAAGCACTCAGACACCAACAGACATTTTACGATTTCCGTTGGTTTTCTCTTGTCTTTCAGGATTCCGACCGTGAGCGTCCTTGTTAACGGGATTAAAATATATGAATTATGATTAGATTAGTTTAAAGTGTTAAATGCTAGGCAGCCTCGTTTCCAGATTTTCCATATGATAGTTATGATCCTACACGACATCAGTATTTTGGCCGCGAGGGAAATACTCTGGAAACGAGGCTGCAACGGTAGGTTACGGTTGTTTACCATTTACACATAGTTCCAGGAAGTCCGATTGGAAAGTAAATTTAAGACGACTTTCTGGGTCGTTTCAGCAGAAAATTTCCAGAAACAACGGAAGATCAGAAAAGGTACTCCTGTTTTTCCAGACGGAATGTTCCAAACGTAACCGTCTTTGATACCAGTCTCAAGCCTTCGCGGCCATTTTACGATAACTGAAACTGATTTGTAGATATGGTAAACGTGATTCCCGGACGGAATTTTGCTTACCATTCGCCCAAATCGTGAACCGACCAGTTTGTCCATGTAAATGGTAAACAACCCGACTTTGACTGTTTGGTCAAATATTGTAGTGTTTTATCCTTGGCAAACGATGTTTGCAAACTAAGCAAATGAATGAAATAACCACGCATTCGATCCCTCGTTCTTACAATCCAGAATTTGACCTAGTTACCGCATTATTCTCTATTTCCATAAAATGTTACAAGATTTTATAACTTCAAAGTAATGATTGTTGTCCCACATGAATCACACTCGCATTAGAGTAACGGTCTTGGGTTTTATCATAACGGAGTAAAATTCCCAAAGTTTATAATGTGTCTCTTTATCAAAGTGTTTTTTCAAGTCAACCCACTGTGGTGTATATATTTTTAAACAAACTGTTTGATATTTTACGATAAATTTCACCGGCATCATTTTGTCGACTATGCAGTTAATAGCCTGGTGACCAGTCCGCATGATCTTGTATTATTTTCAAAGCAATGCTGCAAGTTGGTGTATAAGTACAGAGGAATAAAATGATAGTACCTAATAATCTATATGAATGCTGACAATCTTTTTCTCCCATTTCCGATAACAGGGGGGTAGCCAGCCCATAGACCTGTGAGCCCGGGCCTACAAACTTTTGGTTTGATCATTCTACAGTTTAATAAATTATGCGTTGTTTGGGTGAGGTTAGCGCGTACTAATCATGCGTGTATTTTCAGGATATGTGGAAATGAAAGTCAGCCAGGCCTACAACTAGTCGAAAAGCTGGCTACGCCCCTGGTTCATAACTTAAAGTAGACCCAAAAACACAACTTATGCCCAGTTTAGAAGGAGTAAACTTTTCCCGGGTGGAAGCGTCACTCATTTACTCGACTGATCAACCCTGGGCGAGCCAACTTTTCCTATATTTCCTTACAAAACGTGCGAACCGTGTACGTGATTGAGGAAAAAAAGTTGGCTCGGCTAAAAGCGGGTCACCCTTTTCCTATGGTAGGGCCAACCTCATCAGTAGCAGGGCCAACTTTTCTCCATATAAAAACTTTGACTCCCCCAGCCAGGCAAAATCGGCCAAGGCGAAACAATCAGAGCATGCGCGAGAGCTGTTGGCCAAGGCGTCAACTTTTTCGTCGTATATAGGCGCTGTAATATAAACGGGTCCTTAGACCCAGACGAAGTTTCAGAAAACATGTTTGGGGTTGAATATAAACACGTTCATTCAGTTGAGGACCGATTTTTATTGTGTAGTTGATTCTTCCTCCCATTACGTCCGCCAAATTCTTGCCTTTTTCCCGGCAACAGTGAAACAAAAGAGGACCACTCTGGCCAGCCGTTGATAGTCTACTTTTTAACGACTGAACAATCTGAGTGATTGTGTCATTTCTCAGGTCAGTAGCCACAAACTATTGTCAAGCATTTTACACTAAGTACATACAAACTTCCTGCCTTGTGTATGTTAGTTGGTGGTATTTATTTGCGATAGAAGTGATATGTTTTGTTTCTACATCTATCTACATCTACATT